ACTCCAATTTTAATTAAACATTTGGCTAGGTTTGTTTTTAAATAAACTTTAACTTATTTTAAAAATTATTTTTAGTTGGTTCTTTAACCGATTTTCTTCCATTTCCAATAATCCACAAAATTCAAATTTTCCTAATTTATTGGATGAAAAATTAGTTGAATTAACAAATCATATTTTTAAAAAATTTTGGGATCCAATTATTGGTGCTGATGGATTATCTGAAGAGATTGTGTATTTTGTTTCACAATTTATTCAAAGTGCTTGTTTTATTTTGGCTGGGGTAATTTTTAAAATTTTTAAAACAATATTAAAACAAATATCACACATTAGTTAACTAAAAAATTTAAAAGAAATTTAAATTTTTGATTTTTTATCTAACAAAATGAAAATTCATTTGGGAAAAGATAGGAGGACCATTGGATGTTTCTTAAACCCGATTACATTACTATATTACCCTATTACTTTATATTACCCTATCCCCTTCCAAGAGGAGATACTGTCTCAATTTCTATTTTACATATAAATAACAATTTCAATAATTATTTTGTCTTTTTACCAAAAATATATTTTTTTAGGTAATTGAACTAAGTCGAGATGTTTCATTAACACAAGATTCACTTCGAACAACTAGCTTTTTCTTTAAAAAATTTTCACAAAATGATAATCGTGTTTTAATGCAAAAAAGTATTGAAATTGTTGCTGAAAAAATGATTTCTGCTGTTTTTATGTCTATACAAAATGAATCTATGCTTTCAACAAATGTTAATTATATTGCTGATATTCTTTTCTTCTTTGCTAGTAAATATCCTTCACAAACAAGGTAAAAAAAGATTTTTTAATATTGGGAGCAAGTTATTTTTCCGGTTAATTTTTTGATCCCTAATCTGTCCGAATAATTTTTTAATAGTCAAAGGATTTTTTTCTACAAGGTAAAATTACTTAAAATTAGGGTTAATCGGAATCCCGATCCCGACCTAAAATTGGGTTCGGGATTCAAAAAAATCCCGTCCGTACCTGCTCAACCCTATTTAAAATCACTATTGACTTTTATTTGTTTCCTATTATTCCCATTAAAAAGAAATTTGCATTATTTCTCAACTTTTGCAAGAATTATTCGGATTTGACATTTATTGTCAATAAAACCCCAACAAAACTCTAAAAATATTTACTATCTAAAAATAAACTTTAAATTTAGAACAATAATTCAACAATTACCTAATGGTAATTCCCAAATTGTGCAATTAATGTTTTCTTCTCCTTCATTAAAAAATTATCGGCTTCGTGTGCTGCAGATGCATCAAGAAATTCTTCACAGAATTTAATTTTAATTATGCCTTTTAATTATAATTTAATGTGATATTTGTGCCATTTGTTTTCTAACCATAATTTAATTAGCATATTATTAAGTGCTCGCAATTGTTCTAAACGAATTTTGTTAAATAAAAATTGTTTTTTGATGTTTTTTGGGGGTTTTAGATGCATATTCTCTAACTAGTTTATTCTTATTTTTCTCTGTTTATCATTACTTTCATAATTCCGGAAAAACTTTCATTCTTTTTCCGGAAAGTTTTAAGAATAAGTTTATTAATATTTTACTATAAAAGCTTATATAATGAAAATTAACACTCCTCAACTCAACAAAAACAAGTTTTTATTCGCGTTTTTCTCAATTTGTTCGAAGGCTGTGTTTTAAACGGTGATCTCTTAAATATATTTTTATCTTTAACAATCTTCAATTCACTTTAATTTTAAGATGTCAGAGAACGCTCCACCACCACAATTTATTGACAAATGGAAGATTGTTTGTGTCCTTGGTGAGGGTGCTTTTGGTCAAGTTTATTGTGTTCACGAGAAGAATGACAAGGTGTTTAAATTGTTTTTAAATGACAAAAACATTTATTTTCAGAAAAGAACGTATTTTGCTATGAAGGTTGAACAAAAGCAGAAGAATCGTAATGATGAAGTTCTCCGAATGGAGGTTCAAGTTATGGAGCGTGTCAATGGAAAATTTTTCTGTGATATATTCCATAAAGGACAAACAGATAAAATTACGTTCGTATCTTAAAAGCTTTCTTAAAAACTTGTTTTTTTAAAGGTTTATTGTGATTACACTTTTGGGAAAGCCGTTGGACGACATTCGAAGAGCGCAGCCAACAAGACGTTTCTCCAAACCAACTACATTGAAAATTGGGTTGCAAATGATTAAAGTAAAGGAATCAAATAAATATTTAATTGAAGATATTTTTTTGGTTTTTAGGCCTTCAAGAAGCTTCACTATGTAGGATATATCCATAGGGACGTGAAACCTGCAAACATAGCACCTGGCTATCACCATTCTAATATGCTCTATTTGTTTGATTTTGGTCTCTCTCGCTATATCTTCAAACCTGACGGTCCAGGTCATTTGAGACCAGCTAGGAGTAAAGTAAGTGGTGAAGAAAGCTAAAACAAAATATGTATTTTATGCCTTTAAGGTCCCTTTCCGTGGCACCTACCGTTACTGTTCCATCAATGCGCATATGTGTAGAGACCAAGGAAGAGTAGATGATCTTTGGGGGCTTTTGGTAAATTTTGAAGGAAAATTTAAATAAATTTATTTTAAAGTATTCTCTCGTCGAACTCTGTGCAGGAACGCTTCCTTGGACTGGTATGAAACAGGTCGAGAGCCTAAGTGTTAAAACGGGGATTACAGACGATGAACTTTTCGTGGTAGGCAAATTTACCCAAAACTAAAATTTATTTTTGAATTTTTAGGATTGTCCTCGTTCCTTCAAAAAGGTCAAGAAGAGGCTCAATCAATACAAATTCGAAGATCTACCGGACTACGACACCCTTGTATTGCTGCTTTTTCGGGAAATTTATGCCCTTGGAAGAGAAAAACTGCTCTCAGAACCATTTGAATGGCAAGATCATCCGGATGTTATGAATCCGTTCAAGCAGATAAAGCGTTCCAAAGAGGAAGTAAGAAATTTGGAATATTTAATTTAAAATTTATTTTTGTTTTAAAGGAGGACGAAGACACTATAGGTACAGTCGAGAGTGAGTATGACAGCGATTATGGGGGAGGGGATGGAACCAATACAATAACTGTGGACGATAACACACTTGATGACCTTAATGATGAAAACTTGAAAGAACAATCTAAAATTTGGGAGGAGCAAAAGAAATTGAAAAAGGCGGCAGCTACATCTGCGGTTAAAATGGAAGAGAAGAAAACGAGCAAAGAAGACGTCAAGATTCAACAAAAGCCACCGGTGGAGCAAAAGCCATTAGTGAAAGAAGTAAAAGAACAAAAGCCGCCCGCAAAAATAAAGCCATTGGTGACGGAACAAAAGTCTCCAGCGAAAGTGCAAAAGCCATCGGTTAAGGAGAAAAAGCCGCCAGAGAAAGGACAAAAGCTATCAGTCAAAGATAAGGATAAAAAGCCATCACCAAAAGGACAAAAGCTATCGGTGAAAGAGAAGGATAAGAAGCCTTCAGAAACAGGGAAGAAGCTATCAGTCAAGGAACAAAAAAATTCACCGAAAGGACAAAAATCATCGATTAAAGGGCAAAAGTCGGCAGTGAACGAGCAAAAGAATTCAGCAAAAGATCAAAAGTCGTCGTCGATTAAAGGACAAAAACCCAAAGTTTTATTCGAGGGAAAAACCAAAGGAGCGGGAAAATCAAAGAAATAACGAAATTGAAGAAATATATATTAGATAATTAGATTATTAATTAATTAATGTATAGTATTTGTTATTTTCTCGTCTATTTTGTGTATATTTAATGTGTATTCTTATGAAATATTCATGATCAATGTTCTAGTTTTAATATCTCATAAGTAAAAATGTAATTCGTTTTTTTTGAAACATCTTAAATAATATAGAAAACAATTAAATTCTGTAACTTTAACAGAAATTTCGGGGGTTTTCCTAAAAACTTTGGTAAATTTTGGAATTAATTCTGAAAATCCAAACTGGCATGCCGTGGCAATCCATAATCTTTCAAGTTAACATAACTTTCTAATTAAAAAAATAATTTCTCCACATAATATGTATATATCGGATTTTTCCTCATTTTGTTATTTTTTGATAGGTAGATGAGGATTATTTTTAAAAATGCGGATTTCGGATTTGTGGTCTTGAAGTTTTGAGGATTTTATAGTTTCCTATAGTTTCTGCTCCTACGGGGCTGAAAAGAAAGAAACCTGGCTCCTTGGCCTTCCAAACTTTATGATCTTATTGTTGAAATAAGTTGTCTTGGCTAGATTTGTTTTGATTTCAAAGTTATGTATTTTATATATAATTTTTGTATATAGCAACATTAGAGGAGGGCAATTTTGAAAAAAGCATTTATGTATGTAATTGTTCGGATTTTCATAAGATGAGCATTGGTAATAAAAATTGCTTAAATTTATTTAAGCAATTCATAAGAGTTAACTGAAAAAATGCTAAAAAACAAATAAAATATGTTCAAAAATATTTAAAATAATAAATTAAATGGTTTTATGCTATAAATTTTATAAAACAAAAATAATTTAATTGAAAGCCAATATGTATGTAGAAAAATAATATTTTTAAAAATATTTTGGTATCAAATAAATTAAATTTTCGTTCCCTTCCTCGCAGCTTCCATTTTTGTTATTCTAATGCAGAAAAATATGAATGGTTTTGAAAATTGTAAAATGGTATCTGCGAGAAAAACAGAGAGGAATAATAAGATAAACTCATTACAGATAGAATTAGTGGTACACGCACCAGCATAGGTTCTAATTGATGAAGCTCGTAACTTCACAGGCAAATAAAGTAGAATTGAGAAGGCCGAAAATCTAACCTGTACATTCTTAAGGATGGAAAAGGTGGGGGAATAAACGCTACTACGTAATATGTATTACCAAAAATACCAAAGATTACAAATTTTATTTTTTTCTATTTAATAATATATTTGCATTTACACGATTACTAAGAAACGAAGAAATACATACAATCTACATACAATCCACACATAATCTCTATATTTTACTTCTTTGGCACTCCCGTTCCCTTAGTTTTTCCCTCGAATTTCACCTGCGGCTTTGTTCCTTTTGCCGGCTTATTTTTGCCATTTTTCTCTTTATTCGCACTTCCCCCAGCCTTCTTTAGCTTCTTCTGTTCCTCCCATATTTTAGTTTTGTCCTTCAGATTATCATCGTTGAGGTCATCAAGAGTGTCATCTACAGTTCTTGTATGTGTTTCTGTATCCCCTCTACTTTCAATGCTGTCATATTCGCTTTCGACTGTGCCTATTGTATTCTCCTCATCCTTTAATAGAAAGGAATTTTTGAAATTTAACAAAAAGACTAAATTTACTTCTTCCTTGCAACGCTTTGTATGATTGAACGGGTTCATATCCTCCGAGCGCATTTGCCATTCGAATGGTTCTTTAAGAAGCTTCTGTTCTCCAAGAGAAAAAATTTCTCTATAGAGCATCATTAGAAGAGTATCGTAATCTGGCTGGTCCTCGAACTTGAATTGAGCGAGCTTCTTTTTGACCTTTCTGAAGGAACGAGGACATTCCTAAAGATAAAATGTTTTATATTTTTAAAGTCTTTTCCTTCTCCCACCTGGAAGAGTTCATCGTCTGTGATGGCGGTTTTGATACTCAGACTTTCAACTTGCTTCATGCCGGTCCAGGGAAGTGATCCTGTGCACAGCTCGATGAGAGAGTACTTTAAAATGAGTAAGTAATACTTAAAAGAATTTCCTTTAAAATTTACCAAAAGCCCCCAAAGATCATCCACTCTTCCCTGGTCTCTACACATATGCGCATTGATGGAGCAATACCGATATGTTCCACGGAAAGCAACCTTAAAGACAAAAAATATTTTCTGTTTTAGCTTTCCCAATTACTTACTTTACTCCTAGCTGGTCTCAAATGTCCCGGACCGTCAGGCTTGAAGATATAGCGAGAGAGACCAAAATCAAACAGATGAAGTAACTCTGGATGGTGATAACCGGGAGCCATATTTGCAGGTTTCACATCTCTGTGAATGTAGCCTGCATGGTGGAGCTTTTTGAAAGCCTAGAATTTTAATTAGACAGACTTTAATTCTAAAAAAGTTTTCCCCTTACTCTTATCATCTGCATACCAATCTTCATTGCTGTAGGATTGCTGAAGCGTCTCCCTGCCTGTGCTCGTCGAATTTCGTCCAATGGTTTCCCCAACAATGTCATTACGATAAACCTTTAAAAACGTGTTTTTAAGAAAGCTTTTAGAGACGAACGTAATTTTCTCGGTTTGTCCTTTATGGACAATATCACAGAAGAACCTTCCAGTAACATGCTGCATAACCTGGAGCTCCATTCGAAGAACCTCGTCATTGCGGTTTTTCTGCTTCTGTTCAACCTTCATAGCATAGAAAGGGCTTTGCTAAAATTAAAAAATGTCTTTTGTTTGTTGGGAGAATGATGGAATTTACCTTATTATTCCTGTCCTGAACACAGTAGACTTGACCAAAAGAGCCTTCACCAAGAACACTGATGACCCTCCATTTGTCAATAAACTCTGGAACATTTGACATCTTTATAAAGCAGCCGACGGCAATAGGGAAGAACAAGTATTGTGTTTAGTTGTTGAATGTTTGGATAAGTTTTTAGCAACAGGTTTTTATAGTAAAATTATGGAGTAAATTTAAAAGTACCCAAAAACTCATTAAAATATAAAATTTAGTGCTATAACAGTACATTTAGAAATTCTTTCGGAAATATAGCTTTTCTAGTGGGGAATCCAAAAAACCGATTTTTGGTTTTCTGAGTTAGCTTTGGATTCATTCAGGATATACTATTTATTATGGTCAGTTAGTTAGAAGGGGGATTTATAAGTGAATTGAAGTTGGACGTCTATATCAACAATGAAATTAAATTATGCGAGTGTAGAGATCTCACAATCAGCTTTCATATATGTATTAGAATACAGCTTAAGAAAATGGTAGATGTTAACAAAAAAATGCCCTTATTAAGACTGAATATTTTTAGTGAAACAAATGTTTGTGGTATTTGTTCTAGCTGTGCAGAATGTTTTTTCTAATCGGAATCAAAACTAAGTACTTCTCAAAGATAATAGGAATTATTTGCTTCTTATGGAAGTTGGTTTGTTCTATCAAAATTCTGTCCAGTTATAAGGAACGGACATGTAAGTACAAAAAATAGAGCGAAAAGAATCAAAAATTCTATCATTTGAGGATTTAGCATCCCATTTACATATTTAATAAAATTAACAATTTATCGTCCACTATGAACATAAAATATTACAGAATGTGGTTTATACATAGATACACGCACTACATATATCTGTAATTATGTTTACAGAGGTTTTGATAGCATCAAACTTCTTTTCCGCAAATCGGATGATCCACATTTCCGGCAATTTTTCGATTTTTCTGATACACGAGCATAACATTTCCTTTAGATAAATTAAATTTTGTGTAATATAAAGTAGTAAAATTTTGGCTTACACAATTTTACAATTAAATTAATATCCGGATAAAAGTATATATGTGCCCGCGAATATCCGCGGAAAACGAGGGGGACAAGGATCTCCCAACAAAATGGTCATATCAGGGTTAGTATTGAGGATATGGCCAGCATATCTGTACTTGCCCGTATCCATGGAAATTATCCGTTCATGCCTGTTTTTATTAAAATTATCAAAATAATTGCCTGCATATTAGCTGTATCCAAATGTAGTTTTTGGCTAGTTGGACTAGCTTTGGATCTGTTCGATCATATGCACCCCCGCCTCGAAGTGAGAGACTCAATTGCAAAGTAGAATTTGGCAAAAGATTCAAATTTGCAATTGAGACATTGTCATTTTTTAGTTCTCGGCTTTGATATGACTAAAAATGTTAAGGATTTTGAAAGGGGTTTAAAAAGTTTGTATGAGGTTTAAAAAACTATACAATTATTTGTTCTTCTACGGGAACATGCTCTTTCTGTTGAATTTGTAATTTAATCTTTTCGAGGGGATCACTGGGACTTCCCTCCACAGTTATTGTTTTGCCGTTGAGATTTCTGACAAAAAACTGCATTTTTATAAAAATTAAAAAACTGAAAGTAAAATTTTAATATTTTCTAATTTTGAAAAAAAGAGCTTTTAATGACTAACTGATTTCTTAACGCTAAAGGAAATGCGCTTATATAAGGCCGACCATAAGCAAACATATGAGATATTTCGCAATGTTCATTGAGAAATAATTTTTCCTTTAATTTATAATTTACCTCGCAAGTGAGATTTCGAAATAGTAGTTTTTGCAATTCACAATTGAGTGTAGAGAATGTGTGATGAAATAATATGAATAATAAAAGAATGAAAAAACATGTGAGAAAAATATTATTAAAGACCTAAAAAGCCGCAAATAAAGTTGGGGGTTTTGGATATCCGGCTAGAAAAAAGCTCGGTTTGGTGAAATAAAAAATAAAATTATCTTAGAGTAATCTAAGCAGTAAAAATTTTTAAATTAAAAAAAATCCGGGATCCTGTAAAGGTCATCGATATTTAAAATCAACGATATCTAGGGGCGATATTTTGGGTGTCGATATTCTGGGGTGGAGTCATAATTCGCCCAATAATTCTTCCAAAGTTTAATAAAAGTTTCGAAATTTCGAACTTTTTTCGCATTTTAGAGACATTTCATTCTATCCAAGTTTCGGCGTTTTTAATTTAGAAAATGAAAGCTTTTTAATTTATTTTTTTTTAATTTACAAAACTTACCCTTAAACTTTTCCCTCAAAGATACAAGTTGACATTCTGTACTTTTGTCTTTTGTTTTGTATTTTTGTTTTTGTCTTTTTTTTCTTTGAATTTTTAATTTTTATTTTCATAATTTCATAATTTATTTTCATTAAAAATATTTCATAATCTTTTTTATCTACTTAGAATAAAAAATGTCTTTCGGACCTGTTCGAGTTTTAAAAGCTAATGCACAAGAAGAACGGGGGGAAATTGCTAGAATTTCTTCTTTTGTTGGGGCTACGGCAATTGGGGATTTAGTTAAAACAACGCTTGGACCTAAAGGGATGGTTTGTTTTTGGTTTTATTTAAAATTCGAAATTATTTTAAGGACAAAATCTTGGTTAGCGGTTCAGGGGACGGACAAAACGTTCAAGTAACTAATGATGGAGCAACTATTTTAAAATCTATTGGAGTTGATAATCCTGCAGCAAAAGTGCTTGTTGGTATGTTTTTTTGGTTATTTTTCACCCTTCTAAAATTTGCTAATTTTAATTTAAAAAATGATTTTTGGTTTATAAGTTCAATATTTCGTTTTCGGTATACTACAGTTTCGAAACCTCCAACTTTCTTCGCATCTTGTAAAGCATTTCATTTTTTACAAATTTGGGCGTTTTTAATTTTCAATTTAAGCATATCTCACGTCCAATTAATTTTTGATCTCTATTCTTAGGCTCTTGGTAATTCCAAATTCCCTCCCCGGTACTTTTCGGTTATGGGGTTACACATTTACAAATTTTAAAAAGTTCTCAAAATGGTCAATATGGTCAATCCATTTTTTGTTTGAATGATAGCTCATTCGAACGAGCTCCTCGAGCTGAGTTGAATGGCACCAAAATCAAACCGATTGAAAAAGTTTGGACAAAGCTATGATTGTTTTATCTCCTTACCTATGGACTCCCTATGATTTTTTACCATTTCGAGCCCTATATCTCGGTCCACAAGAATCTTCTTGAAAAAAGATTGGTACCGACGACTCAGCACCTTTTTCTACCCAATGTATGATATATTGACCATTTTGAGAACTTTTTAAAATTAATAAATGTGTAACCTCATAACCGAAAAGTATTCAATAAAAAGATTAAACCCTTTAAATTGTCTTTTTGTATATTTATCCCAAATAATTTTTTAGACATTTCTTTGACTCAAGACAAAGCTGTAGGTGATGGAACAACTTCCGTAACAGTTTTTGCTGCTGAACTTTTGAAGGAAGCTGAAACAATGATTGGGCAACGAATTCATCCTCAAACAATAATTTCTGGTTATCGAAAAGCTTTAAATGTTGCAAAAGATGCTCTAAAAAGTGCTGCTTATACATCAAAGTTTGCTTTAAACTTTGTTAAAAAATTTTAAAAATATCTTTTTTTTAGTCAAGAACAATTACGTGAAGATTTAATGAAAATTGCAAAAACTTCTCTTGGCTCAAAAATTCTTTCCCAACATTCTGACCATTTTGCCAAATTGGCAGTTGAGGCAGTTCTTCGTTTAAGTGGAAAAGTTTCTCTCGATTCAATTCAAGTAATCAAAAAGTTGGGTGGGTCGATGGAAGATTCTTATTTGGATGAGGGTTTTTTGTTGGAAAAGAGAGCTGGAATGTATCAACCACAACAAATTACTGACGCGAAAATTTTGATTGCAAATACTCCTATGGACACTGACAAGGTTTTTGTAAAATTTTAAAAATATTTGTGTATAATCTGGGAATCTATTAACTAATGATTACGGTTGCCGTTTTTGAGTCGGGCCGACGGTCGAGTCTTTTTTTCAGGCCTCATTTTTATCGAGTCGGGCCGACGAGTTTTTTTTGGGTCAGATATCCTATGCCCGACTCGATCTTTTGGTCAGAGTTGCTCCATTTTGGCAGCCCTACTTATGATTTTATTTTAATTAAAAGCCAAGTTAAGGTAAACAGATAAAGACTCGATCTTTTGAGGGAATTGAACGGCTAGATGGGTAACGCATAGAGACTTTTATTCTTAATATGAACACGAATATTAAAAATAGATATAAATTCTCTTTTTAAGATAAAAGTCTTTGGAAGTCGTATAAAGGTCGATTCGATTGCTAAAATTGCAGAATTGGAATTAGTTGAGAAAGACAAAATGAAAGAAAAAGTTTGTTTCTTTTTTAAATTTTTAATTAAAAATTAAAAAAATAATTTTTTAGGTTGAAAAAATTTGTGCTCATGGAATTAATGTATTTATTAATCGTCAATTAATTTACAATTATCCTGAACAATTATTTGCTGATAAACATGTTATGGCTATTGAACACGCTGATTTTGAGGGAATTGAACGGCTAGCTTTGGTTTTGGGTGGAGAAATTGTTTCGACTTTTGATACGCCGACAGATATTAAATTGGGAAGTTGTAAATTAATTGAACAAGTTACTATTGGAGAGGATATGTTTTTACGGTTTTCTGGAGTTCCTTTAGGTATAAAAATTTTTTCTTAATTTTTACTTAATATTGAGGTGGATGGTTTTTCCTAAAGTTTTTTTAATTAAAATATTTTCCTTTTTTGATTAATATTAATATAACTCCCTTCAATCTCTTTGCTCTGAAATATTTTCAATTTTATTGAACAAACAAACTTAAAAAAATAAAACTTGAATTTTTAATCATCAAAAGTTCAATTTATTTTTCCAATCCTTTAAAAAATTAATATTTTCTTTTAAGGCCAAGCCTGTTCTGTTGTACTTCGTGGGGCTACACAACAAATTTTAGACGAGGCAGAGCGTTCATTACACGATGCACTTTGTGTTTTAACAACTCATGTTCGTGATAAACGTGTTGTGCCCGGGGCTGGGGCTTCTGAAATGTTGACGGCTACAGCAGTTATGTCAGAAAGTCAAAAGGTGAAAAAGAGTAAATTGAAAAAAGTTAAAAATTTTTTATTAAAAAGGTTCCCGGTAAAGAATCTTTAGCAATGGAAGCATATGCTCGTGCTTTAATTAAATTACCAACAATAATTTGTGACAATGCTGGTTTGGATAGTGCTGAAATTATTTCTCATATTAGAGCAGCACATGTTAAAGGAATGCATAATATTGGAATTGGTTTGGATTTTTATTTTTTTAATTTAAATTTGTTTTTAAAAGATTAAGTTCTTCGCCAAACTTATTGTAAGATAGGAAAATGAGGGGGGAGGAAGGGGGGAGGTTTTCCAAATTAAAAACCTTTATGCATTTTTTACATGTATTTTTGGGATTTTTCCAGTAAAAACACTAAATTTTATTTTTAAAAAAGGTTCCCGGCAAAGGTTCCCCTTCGAGAACTCTACTTTCTGATCTCTTTTACACAATATTTTTATCCATTATTAATTATTTTAATCATGAATCATCCTTAATTGATTTATTTTTCCAGTATATAAATATTTATAGAGAATTATATATTTTTTATTAAATTAGATGTTGAGAATGGAACAATAGCAGATGTTTTGGAAATGGGTGTACTTGAATCCCATGCAGTAAAATTGGGAGTTATTGCAAGTGGAACAGAAGCTGCTGAACAAGTAAAAAATTAAAAAATTAAATTTATTTTTGGAAAACTTTTTTTTATTTTTATCAGTTACTTCGTGTTGATTGCATAATTAAATGTGCACCTCGTCCACGGACCAAAGATCGTCGTCCGTGTTAATTGATTTTATGGAAGAGTTATAGGGAAATTTTGATGATTTTTTTCTGTCGCGGCTTGACTTTAAAATTAAAAAAAATATTTTTGTTGAATTATTTTAAAAAGTAATAAAAAGAAAATACTTGCTTATCTCAACAAACTTCAAAAAATGTTTTGTTTTTGAATTTTTTTAAACATTATTGCCGATTTTATTAAATGTTGATTTTTTTGCATTTTTTTGATGAATTTTGATAAAAATTGTTAAATTAAATTTTTAATATGTATTTTTATATTCGTTATTTATCCGAATTTTTATTTTAAAATTTTTTTTCTTGGAATTTTTTCCAATATAAAATACTTTTCTAGAATCTCTATTAATTGGTCCTTAATATAATTATGTAAGTCGTTAAAAATTTTTAAAAAATTTTTGAAATTTTCTAGGTCGACCTTTCTCTTCCGTTCACTTTATTTGGCATCAATTCCAATTGTTTTTGTTGCTCTTATAGTTCCAGCTTTGTTTTATTTCTTCCCTTCAATAATGCAACATGTTTTCTTTCTTAATTTTGGTTTATTTTTAAAAAATAATTTTTTTAATTTTTTAAAAATATTTCTAGTTCGATTCCCTTTTGTTGATTATTATGATCTTCAGAAGCATGGAGTTCGTGGTCGTGGCCGAAATTTTTACTTGCATGTTGGGGATTATTTGGGAATTAATAAAGCAGATGGAAAAAATGATGGAAATAAAGAAAATAAAAGTTTGTTTATTTTTGTGAAATTTTGTAGGAGTGCGTTGGGGAAAGCCTTTTTATTCCTAATATTTTTCCTGACTTTGTAAATCGAAATTATTTCTCTGATTTATCGGGTGAGGGGCAAAACGAGGAATTCCAAAACACGCAACGACCAAAACACGGTCCAGGGAAATTATAATTCTTTATGCCCCCTCTATTAGTACTGCCTTTAGGGGTGGATTTTAGCCCGACACGGACTTATCTTTCAATACTTTATTATTTCTGGACATTCTAAAAATTAATTTTTTAATTTTCTTAAAATTTCATTTTTAGCCGAAACAACAATTCCAAACCAAATACATCCAATTCTCGGTGTCTGGCATGTATTACCTTCCGAATTATCTTCTCAATATGACAACAAAATTAAAGAAACTAAAATTGAAAAAATTGATGAAAAAGAATTGGAACGTTCTTTAGACGAACATTCCCACGGATTGTTTATTTATTTTCATGGAAATTCTTTTGATAGGAGTGCAGAACATCGTTGTGAACTTTATAATATTTTGTCTGCTATGGACTTTCATGTTTTGACAATTGATTATCGAGGTATTTTTGAGGGTTTTTATTTGGAATTTAGGCAATATTGAATCGGACAGACTCCCCCTTTTTCCTCCCCAATACCGGACAGAACCGGACACTTGTATGAAATAAAATAATCTTTTATTTGATTGTAGGCAAAAATTAGAAAGGCAATTTGGATGGACGAAAGGAAAAAGTCTGAACATTCTGCAAAATTATAGGGGAAAAATGGGAGGGGGAAGGGGGTCTGTCCGGTTCAATATCATCGAAATTTATTTTTTTTCAAAAGGTTATGGGGATTCTTCTGGACAACCAACTGAGGATGGATTAAATGTAGATGCTCATGCTATTTATCATTATGCACGAAAACATGCTCCAACAAAAGATATTTATATTTGGGGGCATTCTATGGGAACTGGTAAAAGAAAAAAGAGAATTTTTATGGTAAAAAATAATTTTGTTTAGGAGTTGCTACTCGTTTAGCCGCTGAATTAAGCGATGCTGGAATTCCTCCAAAAGCTCTTGTACTTGAATCGCCTTTTAACAATTTACGTGATGTTGTAAGAAATCATCCTTTTAGTTTGCCATTCCGTCGACTTCCTTGGTTTGATTGGACGGTTATTCATCCATTGATTCGTTCAGGGTTGGTAATGAGCTCTGACAAACGTGTTCAAAGGTGAATGAAATTTTATTAAAATTAAAAAAAAAATTTTTCTTTTTAAAGAGTTACCTGCCCAATTTTGGTTTTACATGCAGAAGATGACCATATAATTCCAATAGATTTGGGCAAAAAGTTGGTTGATTCTGCTGTGTCAGCTGACAGAAAAGTTAAATTTGTCAAGTTTGCTGGAGACCGTGAATTTTTACATAAATTTATTCATCGAGCCCATGAACTTCCAAGTGTTGTTAGGTGGGGGGATTTTTTAAAAAATAAAATGATTAGACTGTCAATTATTTTTCTCTTTTTAGAACTTTCTTAGAAGATGCCCAACTACCAGAAAAAGGTAAAGGTCGAACACCCCGTTATTCGGAGGAGGAAATACAAATGGTGGAAGAAAAGTGACAAAAAAATTTTTAAGAAGGAAGTGAACTTTCAATCCCAAATTAATTAAAAGATAAAATTAAGAGACTAAATAAATAATAATTTTTTTTTAATTTTGCCTTTTTTAGCTTTTTTTACAAATTTTTTGCCTTTCTTTTTTAAATTTTTAGTCAATAAATAATTATTCTTAAGGCATTAATTTTAAGTTTTAATATTGTCTTATTCTGATTTTTAAATTTTTATTTTAATTTCCCAACAGAGTTAGAGAATTTATTTTTTTAATAATTTTTTTTTAAATTATGACTGAAATTTTTATTTCTTTACTATGGTCCTTTTTAATAAGTAATCCCTCCCTTATTTTTCTAACTCCGTTTTTTGACCTTTAAAGTAGCCATTCTTCTCTGAATTTCATTTATAATTTTTTTTAATTCTAAATTCATTACGGCATTTTATTTCTTAAAATTTTTGTTTTTATATAATATTTTTGTAATTTTTTAATTTTGATCAGTAATAAAATAAATTCAACAAAATTCTTTAGCAAAATTCTTTCACAACAGAAAAATCAAAGATTTTATCATGTCTTGAGAGATAATTTTAATTATAACCTTTAAACTTATTGTTAGTTTATCCCTCTTCTCTCAAGTTCATTTTAGTAAATTAAACAAAACCCTATACTCCCCCCTCCAATAATAATTAGAATTTTCCCACTTATTTGATCAATTTTTTTGGTTATTTTTTCTTCTATTTAGTATTTCTACTCATTATTTTTTCTCTCTAATTTCTTTTATATGCCTGTTCCGATTCTTGTCCTGTTTCTGTCCTCCAAATGTCCTACTATTAAAATACACAATACTTTTAGTATATGCCATTATTTCTCCAAAATTCTCTCTCTTTTTTTTGAAGGGGTTGTGCACTTTTCCTTTCATTTTTCTTTTTTTATTTTTTTCTAATCTATAAATAACAGCTTTCATTTGGTTGCGGATGCCGTTGACCTAATTTTTTTATTTATAGAAAGGGATTGAACGCCCGAATTTTCACTTGGTGACGAGTGAATGGCAAAAAGAAAATGGTTGCGAAAAATTGCTAAAAACGCCACAAAAAGTGCAAACCCTGAAAGGGAAAGGGAAGGAGGATTTTCTCTTTTTTGTGTGCTCCAATAAAATTACATACCCCCCCCTCCCCTCCCCCCCCTCCCCCTCTCCCCCCTCCCTTCCCTCCTCTTCTACTTTCCACGATAAGTAAATGACATATATAGTGCCCTTGTAAAGGAGAGAAAGAAGTGATCCAGAAAAACTAGAAATTGGTTAAAAAAAAAGAGAGGAGAAAGTTTTTTAAAAAAAATAAACGCGCGTAGCGATGACCCAAATCCAAAAAATCTTTTTTTAAAAACATGCCCTTCTCTAATATATTTTTTAAAAAGAAAAATTTTTTCTATTATTATTAGCATATGCCACACAATATAAAATAGATGAGTGAGAAATTCTTTTCTTTTTTTAGTTGTTGCTCCAAATTTTTGTTTGATGATGATGACAACAGAAAGCGAAAGTTCGCAATAAATAAATAAATAAATATATTTTTTATTCTTCTTTTAAATATTTAAAGTGTCATCTAATTTTGGAAGAAAAATTAAAATATTTTTTTAATTTTTAAATTTAAATTTCAGTAACAACAAAAAAATATTTTTAACCCCCCCACCTTAAATTTTAATTTAAAAAATGGCTTCGTCCCTAACACATTCTCTTGCCGCTGCAGCTCATCATCGGCATGGACATACTTCGCCTGAATCGTTTTCTACTTCATCAATTGTTTGTTTTAATTTTATTAGGAAAATCTAAGTCTTGTTTAAATGACTTATAAAAGTTTATAGAGTTCTTTGGATTATTCTTTGTATTTTGTTTTGAAGTTTTATATGTAATAATTAGTGTATCCTTCACTAGATTTTTTGTTTACTTTATTCTTTCCTTTCTAAATCATTTTACTTAGGTTGTGTCATAAATAATTAGCCCTCCTAAAACCATGTATAGTGTAAGCTTTATATCTCAATGTTCAGATCTCCAATCTATTTAATTTTTTTGTCATATATTCACAATAATGCCTTCTTCATTTTCTGAAAGATTTGAAATTTTTTCTTTATTTAAAAATTTTTTATGAATTTTTAAAGTTTAAGTCAAAATTAGGAAATTGGCGTCCAGTTCAGAGATGGGATTGAACTTGGACATTCGGAAAAGTAATCATGGCGCAAAATATGCAAAGCGAAGTATGTGGATGTTATCTCATATTCCACTGAAAAAAGTTGGCTCTCCAAGTAAAAGAAAAGTAGAGAGGAGCTGAAAGACAAATAACGTCTTGGATGCCAACCAACGATAGATAAGAATCCCGTTCTCCCCGGAATCAAGGCCAGTCCAAAAAAATAAAATGTGTATATTGGGGCAGGCACTCACCTGCTCACTTACAAAAATTTCCATAATTTTACTTAAAGCGGGAAACAAGTTATGAAGGGTCAATTGATACCCCATGAATTGCCGCTAAATTAAAAAAAATCGCTAAGTCACTTTTGCAAAACAACCCCTTAAATGCCACAATGAAGCTCCTTGTTTGATACAAATTTTAACCTTTAATGAAGAGTGGGTTGCCTTCATGAATTCTGTAAACAAAAAGGAACGGCTCATCCCAGATAACAATCAGTTTCGACCTCTAAATCAGACTGGTCCTAGAGCGTGATCTGTTATGTATTTGATGGTGTTGCGGAGGTGTATTCATTGGAAATTAGATGAAACTGGCTGAACTATTACCCCCAAATAGTATTGTTCCTAAATAAATCGAGTCCATCAAAAAATCCGGTCTTCTGGCCTATCTGGGCATTTTCGCGCGAGGGTTATCCTAAAACAGAGTAATGTAGCCCCTATTTCGCAAATGCGACCCTCTAGAAAATCAGCCAGTTATTTTCCAGGGGAATTTTTTATATCATTGTATTCATCAGATTCTGCTCTATCAGAATCTATTTAAATTTTCATTCTTACTCATCAATTTTGCAAAGAAAAATCAAAAAGACTTTGCCTTGTTTCAAAAATACAAGTTTTATTATTTTACCTCTAACTCCGGCCAACCTAGTCCTAGGACTCTAATTTTTTGTCAGAAAATAGGCAACCTTCTTATGATCATAGAAAAATATAATTCGAAGTCTGAAAACATTTAGTTGAATTTTAATAATTATTTAATCCGTTTAGCATAAGGGGGGCTAATTATTTATGACACAACCTAAGTAAGTGCTCCTTGTCATCTCAGATCTCTCTTATCTTATCAAATTCTTATCTCGTCACCTCTAACATATTCTTCTTTTCCCTATTTTCGTTTTTGGGGAAGATTTAGCTTTGGGGGAATATTATAAAATTTTCTCTTTATTTCCTACTACCTAAATAATTTTCAAAAATTTATTTTTAGCATTTCCATGCTTTGGATTTAAGTAAAAACAACACCAATACTTTAAATACTTCTTGTACAAACACAAAAGATTCTTCAACATTTATCCCAAATTTATTAGTCCAACAACAACAACAACCAACATTAACAACAATACCTCCTCTACCTCCTCCTCCAACTTCTTTAATTATTCCTCAACAAAAACAACAAATTATTTATCAAAATTTATTTTCCACCAATAATTCTTTAATTGGAAAAAATATTTTTGGAAATTCTGTTGAGGAACAAATGCAGGCAGTGGCTAATGTTTTGTTGGGGGGAGGAGGAAATGGATCTTTTCAATTACAAAATGTTGTTAATAAATGTCCAAAATTGTTATCAGAATTTATTAATACAACAAGAGAACCTTTAATTAATTCTTTGGCATTTTTACAATCGACGGAAACTTCCTTGCCGCAAATGGTAAAAAATAAAAATTACTATTGTCTGTTGACCTCATTTTTGTTTTTAAACACCCTTGGATAGAAATCAGAGGTGGGTCGGAACAGTCCGAGGTGTCGGAAGTCGGAAGAGCCGGAAATCGGAACTGGCTCAAAAGTCGGAACTTGGAAATCGGAAATCAAAAATTTTTTTTCGGAAATCGGAATTCCGACCCACCTCTGGTAGAAATATTGGATTTAAAATAAAGTGTATTGAGTGAGGGTCTCTCTTATTGTTAGGCTAATCAACTCCTTATATTGAGGAGTAGGTTGTATAAGGTTCGACTGAATTGCTTGAAAAAAATATTTTTTTTTCAGTCAATGATCACCAACGATTCATTATCATCCTCCTCTTCTTCATCCAATTCATCTGGACTAGAAAGTGATGGCCAAGCAAGTAGTAATTCCCCAATATCAGCAGTAACAGCAACAAACAACAAAATATTAATTAATGACAACAACAACAAAAAAGAAGAAAATAAAAATTTAACAAAAATAAAAGAAAAACAAGAAAATAATAAAGAATTTGAACAATTTCAACAACCAAAAAATTTAATTAAAAAACAATTAGTTAGAGATGATGCTTATTGGGAGAGAAGACGTAAAAATAATTATGCTGCTAAAAGAAGTAGAGATACAAGAAGGCGTAAAGTTAGAGTTTTAAAATTAATTAATTAATTGACTTGAAAAAAATCAGAATTTCTGAAAAATTATTAAAAATTGTATTTTCTTGAAGAGATTTCTGAATTGTGTTTTCCAGAAGAAATTCTAGAAAACACAAAAGAGAATTATCAGAATTGTAACCAGAATTTCATGTTCCAGAAAGGAATTATTGTTTGTATTTCTGGACCAGAATTCTGGGTTGTGTTTTCTGGAAAGGGAATTATGATAATAATTTTAACCAGAATTTTGAACTGTTCCGGAAAAATAATTAAAGGTTGTTCTCCTTGAATTTTCGAATTCTAATAAAGTTTTACACTTTCTTTACAAAATTCCGGACTGTATTTTTACTGTCAAAAAAAATTTTTTTAAATTAACTCATAAAAAATAAATTATAGGAAGACGAAGTAGCTGTGCGTGCAGTTATTTTAGAACAAGAAAATCTGCGTTTACGTTTCGAACTTGAAAGACTTAGAACAGAAATTGAGCGTTATAGAATTGTTGCATTTAGTCAAGGAATAGCAATACAACAACAAACAACAACAAAAAATAATCCTAAAAAATCAGAATTTTTTATTTCTGGCCAACAAAATGGACAAATAGATTCGAATTAAATTTAAAGTTAAATTTTGATAGGAGTAAGACTAGAAAAATTATTTTTCAAAAATTTTTTTCTTTTTTACTTTCAATGTGCAATTAATTTCACAACGTTTTAATGTGCAATTTAATTATTAAAATTTAAAAATTAATTTTTGTTATAAACAAATGTAATGACTAGGGTCTATAATGATCTACAATCACAAAACTAGGGCCTCACAAAATATGCACGGAAAATATCAAAATATACAATAAAATATGCAAGATTCCCTAAACTAAATATGCCACTAATTTAGCCTATAAACACTAATTTAGCCTATAAATTGCAACCAAAAAAATTTTTTGCCCAAAGAAGTTTAGACGTTGCTTTTCCAGCCCCAAAAGCTAAAATATTTTCAAAATTAAACATTTTTAATTACATCAAAACATAATGACAAATAAATATAGTAAATCCGATGTAACATAAATCTATAATAAAATAAAAGGTCTATGATGATCTACAATCACAAAATAATTTATAATCCCTCCAATCAAAATGACGAATCCTGAGAAATATTGAATGGTATCTCAACATGTCCAATTGCAGAAAGACGTTGATTGAGGACAGGAATAAATTCTCGACTAAATTTTTAAAAATATACAAAAATATTAACAAAACTCACTAAAATTGGCCAATATTCATTTTAAAAAGCTCTTGCATTTGATCAGCATCAACAAATCGCAGGATACATGATGCAATACGAATTTTTGTTAAATATCCACCGGGAAGACAGGATACATCCTAGAAATAATTTGAACGAATTTTAATAAATTTATTTTAATTTGGTGGGACATTAAAGCTGTCTAAGCGATATTTCCTATTTAGGATAACTCTCATATAAAATGCATTTTTTTCAACTCCATCTAAAAATTACTAGTGTTTCACCGGAGCCGAAATTTTGTACGGAATCGGATCCAATTTGAGTTCCGGTTCCCGGAACAAGAACTCTTCTAAGTTCCGGCCCGAACCGGAACTTCCGGGGAAACTCTAAAAATCACCAACCAATTTCAATTTTCGAGAAATTTCCACAATTTTTTCTTTAGGATTTTCAATTCGTCGCAACAAAGCCACAACACGGATAATCTGCATGTCATCATAAAGCATAGGCAAAACTTTTACATCCAAAGGATCTTCATTATTCGTCATTTGTCCACTACTTCCAGTACCCATAAAATCAATAGTTGCTTCAAGATCTGGAGTAACAATTTGTGCAATACCACCACCACCATATAAAGGATCATAACTGCCCGATAGTATCCAACGATCAATTAATTCATTAAAAATATTTTCCTTATTGACAGAATGGATATGTGAAACTTGATCGATGACATAAAAATATTTGTCTTAAAAATAAAATTTAAAAAAAATAGAAAATTAAATTCGTTACCAGAACACGTAACATCTCCCCAATCTAACTTGCTACTACATAAAAGGTAAATTATAAGTTCTTCAGGCTTTTGTGTAAGAGCATTAGTTTCAGAATCCAATAACTGATTCTTCTCCAATAAAAATTCAGTTTTTAAAACAGCCAACAATTGACGAAGAGTTTGAGAATTTTGTGTAAACTGATCAACTTCCTTGGGAGAAATTTGAAGTTCTTTGGCATTCTTTGTCCATTTTTGTAAAATATTGCAGCACATATCAATTAAACCAATTTTTGTTTTGCCTTAATTAAATTAAATAAAAAATTAACTTTTAAAAACAAACCTAATGAAATTTTTTGAAATCGTGTTGATAACCCTTTGAGAATGCTAAGACGATTGTGTGACTCATAAATGAGATTCTCCATATCTTCAACATCAACATCTTCAAGTTCACGATTGTATTTGACAATATCTTTCACGTGGGAATTAATAGCTGCAACCAAAAGACTAGTACGGCTGTGTTGGAGAAAGCATTTTGTATTTTCAATAAGTGAGACCCATAACTTAATTTTTATAAATTATTAAAAAAATAAAAATTATTAAAAACCTGCACATTTTTAATAGAAACTTCAGAATAAATAAAAGGCATTTGCCATCTTTCAATAGGCTCCTTTTCCTCTAAAGTAAAAATATGGTATGGCAGACGTTTTTGTGAAGACGGGGGTAAGCTAGCTTCAGTTAAAAGGGACATCTCTTTTTGTTGATTTTCTTGGCCACCAGAAATTGTAGTTTGATTCAAAACACTTCCACAAGTGTCGTCAAAAGCTTCAATTGGACCGCTTTTTGTTAGCAAAGAAGTATCCTGAATAAAAATATTTTTGAAATATTCTACATATCTATAAATACTTACAAAATATTTAGGATTCACAAAATGTCTATACCAACGGATTTCAATTGGAGCAATAGAACCTTGTCGAGTATATGTTCTAAATTAAAAAATGTATTTATATATTGTAATTTCTAAAAATTAACTACTCACTTTAAAAATTTAAATAACATATAAGCATCATTAATACGATCTGCAATTTCATCTAATCGAACACCTGACTCCAAAATTTCCTTCATTTTATTTACCAAAATTTCAAGAGCTTCATAATTGTAAGGGCATATATCACGAATAGTTTGATTGATAATCAATAAAGATTTTTCTTCTGCTCGTACATACTGAAAGTTTTTAAAGACTTATAGTATAACAATCCAACTTTACCTCAAATGATTGTTTCGCTGTTTCAATACACAAAGTAAAACGTTCAGTGTTTGAAGGTCCACTCAAACAAGAAGAGAATTTACAGAGTTCAATACCATAATTTAAAAGAATTGAAGCAGTATCAACACCATTTGTTTCATCACAATATTCTTTCAATATTGACGAGGGTAAAATCAATTTAGCAAATTCAGCACACAAATCAAAAACTGTTTCACGTTTTAGTTGAGTATTTCCAAGATTGACTCCCTGCTTGAATAAACGTTTCTGCCATAAAGTTGAGTCAAACCAAGACTGAAATATAATTAAAATTAATAAAAAAACCGAGAAAAATTTAAAGAAACTAACCGCGACTTGTTTAATAGTAGTTAACTCTTGTGAGGTATATATGAGGACAAACAACGATGCCCTGATGAGATTGAGTGTATAACGCACATTCTTTTTTGTTAAAGCCCATGTTCGAAGATCCTTTAGTGTCTAAATTAAAGAAAAATTTTCTGGAAAATTTTTTAAAGAAATACCTTAAACATATTTGTCTTTGATAAACTGAACAATAAATAAGCAGCCAAATGAAGATCAGCAACAGGAAAACTAAAAATCTTTTTGCATACATTGAAAATGCGTCTATCAATATCAGTCAAAGCAATTGTGCGAAGTTGTTTATTGGAATTGAAACACGCTTAAAAATAAGTTTAAAATTTTTTTTCAATTTTAAAGAATACGTAAAGTATTAGCAAATTGTCTCGCATAAACTTCAAGAAGCACATGTGAATTAGAAAGTAATAAAAACAACTTCTCCCAGCTCTTGCACATTTCTTTAATGTATTCATCTTTTTCAGCACTAAATTAGAAAAATATAAAAATATTTAAAAAATAATGGTAATTAAAATAAATTTAAAAGGAAAAAATATTACGTATCAACAAACGGTTCAACAACTGAAGCACCAATCGCAGAAATAGCCCTAACCACAGCCAGAGAATCAGTAAATACTCCCTCATTTTGTGGAAGGAAAACGCCCATGCGATGATCGAGTGTATGGATTTGAAATGATGTTCTGAAGTTAGAGAATTAAAAAACAATTAAATAATTAGAATAATAAAAACATACTGTTGCAACTTTTCAACTAAGTTCTTGTTAGGTTCAACGCTCGAGGGCCGAGAAGGCAAATTAGGCATTGCGTCGGTCTCTTTGTTTATTTGATTTAAAATAAATGAAAACAAATTAACGTAGCGAATTATCTAAAAATAAATTTTTAAAATCGGTCATGAATGGCAATATATACAGGAAAGAAAGACTCCGCCAAAGTAATTTCCTCAAGTTGAACAGCCCAATCAACCAGTTTTGGTAAAACTTCTTTAAAACTTGAGATAGTATTAATAGAGTAATCAATCAGTTCATCTCCATTTCCACTTTTAGAATCGTTCCGAATCAAATCAGTGAATTTCCAACAAACATATGTACAAGCCTCCAAAGCATTTTCAATAATTGACTTTTCAGAAGTATGGTAATTGTCCAAAAGATAACTAAAAAATGATAAATGTTGAATAAAATAACATTAACAAAGCACTTACATTAATGATTCCAAAACAGCTTCAGGCAAATTTCTTCGAATTTGAGCACGCATCAAAGTCACACACGAAGTTTTAAGTGGTAATTCAAGCAGTGTTCCAAATCTGATAACTTCTACGATTGACTTGTCAGAAGATGCCTCGATAAAATCGTCAAGTAATTTGATATTTGCTTCGGTATTTTTAAGACAATTGAAGCCAAGAATAATTTGATGATTATTTTGGAGTTGGCGCAAACTACGCGCAGAACGTATAAGTGCCTGATTATCGGCTGTATCAGGTAAAAAACGCTCCAAAACCGCAAGCAAACAGGAAATCCAAACGGGTCGTCGAATAATTATTTTCTATTAAAAAATTTTATCAATTAATTTCCAAAGATTTCACCTTAAGCTTAGACGGCTCCAAAAAGTTTTTTAGAAGAATAACCAATTTTGTTGCTACAGCCTCCAAAATTTCTTTAGATTTAATCAATGCAAATAGATCCAACAACGGCTTAATATCATCCTCATCAGTAAATTGACGAACTAATACAATTGCATAAATGTAATAACAATCGATTGAAGATGTTGTTGATTGAAGAAGTTGGTAGATCTCAATAATCTGAATAATAAAAAATAATAAAAATGAGTAAAAAAATAACATACTGCAAAACCATCTTTTAATTTATCAACCATATCATTATTACTATTTATGAAGATAAACTGCAAAAGTTGTTGAACACTTGAAGTGGAAATTAATTTAGAACGAGTTTCCAGAGGGATTTGATATTTGATAAAAATTTGTCCCAAGTCAGCATAAGAACATTGTCTACGCAAATAAAATAACCTGAAAATAAAAAAGTATATTTTTTAAATTAAAAACAAACAATTTTGGATCGATCTTCTCTTCCTGAGACAAAATATTCTTCACAACAGTACTTAATTGATTATTCCATGGAGGCACTGTTCCAACAGCAATTTCGAGTATAGCACGACATCGGATATTAGAATCGGTAATTTGTTCAGTAATTTTCAGACAGAGGACATCCCATGTGTTTCCACCCTTTTGTGTTGGAACATGACGATAAGAACTTGAGAGATTCTATAAAATTTTTAAATTCAATAATAATTAATCAAAAACCTTGATATAATTGTAGAGCACTTCATTCTTGTCCAAATAATGTTCTTCAATATATGGAAACACAAATTGCTGAATATAATCATGAATTGATGGAGCAGAGCGCACTCGATCCAACACACGCTGACAAATAGTACTGACATCTTGTCCCTAAAAAATCAAAATTTTATTTTCGAATTTTAACAAAACATGCCAAATATTCAGAGTAACTCATTGGAATTTGATATTTAGAGAGAATACTTTCAAGTTTAGTCAAGTCACGAAGTAATTTTTTCAGACTTGAAATTGAGGAAGATGAAGGACAATTTTCTTCATCAGCATCCAATTGCTTCAAAACATGAAGAAGAAAAATCTAAACACAAATAAAGAATTTTTAAAATTAAAAAATAATTTATATTACATATTTTTCTGGAGTTTGACATTCCTCTTTCAACAATTCAATAGCACGATCAAAAGTTTTAGAAAATTCCAAAGCATTTTTAGGAAATAATTTTGGATCAATCTCTTCCAAAAGAAGTGAAATAGAAATGAAGAACGAACACAAATCTTCACAAATTTGTTTTGTATCATCCTGTCCAATGTGTAGAAACACAGAAATTAAATCTGTTTGCATAAATTGGCTGATGTCACAACAAAGAGTTGAATTAGCTAAATTATTTGAAAAATTTATATTCATAAAAATATTTTCAAACCTTTAATAACATCCCGAAATACATAAAGCAATTTATGAAAAGCTTCCTTATCCATAAGTTTCTGAGAAATATCTGGATAACGTGAGAAGAGTGTGCGAGCCTCAGCAATTTTCCCTTTTTCACAAAAACGATCAAAAAATTCTTTGTGTGTATCACTCGTGTAAAAGTTATGCCAGTCAGACGTCCTTGAATAATTAATGTTGTCTTTGTCATAAACGAGACTGAATGATTCGAATTCAAAACGAAGACGTTCAATTTCTTTTAGTGTGTATTCATCTAAATTTTTTTATAAATTAATATAGTCATATTCTATTTAAAATATACCGGTAATTGTTAATCCTTTTGCAAACACCAAGATTTCATTAATGTGCGCGAAGCAGTTTAAAAAAGGTAGTGATGCTACGACCATATCGCCAGCCTTAAAACAAAAAAAAATAATTGAAAAAAATCTTCTAATACCGAATCATTATCAGAAATAAGCTTCAAATTCTTGATCATTTCAATAAAAGTAGCCTCTTCGTAGTTTCCATCTTCAGCATTTTGAATTTTTTCCTGGCACTGATGAATTATAGCTTCATATACCAACTAAAAATACGAATAAATGAATGTAAAGAAATTTAATTAAAATTAATACATCAACAGATAAATTGTAAGTAATTGCAAAAGAGAGTGCATCAGCAAAATACTTTAAATCTAGAAGTCTGTGTAATCGAGTAAGTGGTTGAGAATGATTGACAAAACGAAGAAAAACCATATCGCGACTTAAAATAAATGTTAAATTTTTTTATTTAATTGGAGCTTAATTACCTCTTTGCTGGACAAGCATCCACATAAACAATGCTACTATCATCATTTGGAGTCGAGTATGGAATCATCATTGTGTACTCAGAACAGATTTTACTAAATTGCACATCTTTTTGATTGACTTGGCGAATCATAAACTAAAATTAAATATTTTTTTATTTAAAGAGTGGGTTGAGATCAAAGCTTAAAACCCCCACAAATAATAGACAAAATTATGAATATGTGAAGGAATTATTTAGATGGACTCCAGAAAAATTCAAAAACAATCTGCATAAAAAAAGTACAGAGCATAGACAAGACCAAGCCTAATCTTAGTCAGTCAGATAAAAGCCGTTATTTTAAGATTAATTCGTTAAAATATAAAATATCCCCGTTATTGTCATACATTTAAAAATAAAAAGAAACCTCAACATCATTATTCTTCGTCAAAACTTTAAGTAAAAGCTTAACATCAGTCGCAAACTCGGAGAAATTTTCAACATCCAAAAACTCAAAATCCAAAACATTAACTATTTGTTCGTCTTGTAAAGCCAGAGTATAAAAAAGAAAGTAATTTTCATTGTAAAATTGAAGTTTATTTGAGATTAAAGCAACAACAAAACATCCAAAGTTTTTAACAATTTTGACTGGTTGCTTAATCTTGAAAAGTGATGAGAAACAAGCTACATCTTCCGGATAATTCTTAATTTCTTCCAAATGAATAGAAAGTGAAGTAACCATTCCTGGATCTCGTGGAAACTTTAAAAGAAAAATAAAATATTTTTAAACAACAAAATTTGTACCAAAACAAAATTATTTGTAGAAGAGACGAGAAAATGACATTTAAATTGAAAAGCAATTTCAATCGAACGGACCAACTCGACACCAGAGAAATTGTCACGAAATTCAAGCTCATCACGAATTGAATAGTCAAAAGCCGGAATTGATATGAAATGTAAAACTGATTTTTGACGATCCAGAATACAAGTAGAATAGCCATTTTGAGTTGAAACAGTGCATGTTGAGCAGCTTTCCAGGGGTGGGAAAACGGACTTTAAATTCAAAATAAATTTGCAATCATTACAAAAAACCTGTCTATGCGTGTAGCGATTGTTCGGTGACATAAAAAGAATTGTCCCTTTGCTTAACAAAACCATAAAAACATCTCGATCAGGTAAGAAACACACTTCAACAACATTACCATCCTCTTCTGTCAAAACGCTATGCTTTTCTTTCACTCCCTTCGAATGGTTAAGTCGGCCTTTAGAACTGTCCAAACAAAATTCAACACATCCAACCGAGAGATCAAAGACATGAAGATCAGAATCAATGCTCAAAACAAGCCTAAATATATAAAGGCGTAAAGCAGCTACTAAATAGAAAAGCTTACCAATTATTACGAGTAGCACAAAAAATTTTTGGAGAAACAAAGTCAGAACCCCTACCTTCACCTAAAACCAAAAAATAAGGGAAATAAATTTAGTTTAAAAATTATACTTTTAAGCACTTTGCCCGTAGACACTTCATAAGAACTCAAAGCTTGAGATAAATCCGTCCCGCTGTCTTGATAAATTGGCGGGATCTGGTCAACAACAACAAATTTGTTGCAACTCATTACAAAATAAAATATTTTTTTAATTAAAATAGAATACGTAAAGCTTTTCTGAAATAAAAAAATTTTTAGTCATTATTTTTACAAATAACTGTGAAAAAAACTTCTTTGTCCCAACGTTTATATAAGAAATATAACAAAGAAAATCAATAAAATTTTAAAATAAATTTGGGCGGCAAACATTATGCCAAATTTAAGTCAAAAAATTTTAATTCAAATTAAATTTACAATTTCAAAAAAATTTTACTTGAACTCTCGAATAAAAATTGTGATAAATTGTGATATTGTCTTCAATTGTGATATTGTCTTCATTACTATTTTCCAAGAGATGAGGAATGTGCAGACTAAAAAACAATCGTGATTTCGAAAAACGGGATACATATGTATGTGTATACCCCCCGATTCCCTGACACATAAGTTCCGTTTTGGACCAGAATTATGGTTTGTTTAATGTAAAAGGAATTCATGCTTTTAATTACAACCAAAACAAACATGTTGAAAAATTGCATTCTATTTAATTCCTAAGGCAATAGGCGGCTTGTTGTAATGGATTACACTCCAGTCCGGTCTAATGAAGAGTCCGGTCTACCATTCTTACTAGCTGAATCGAATGACAACAAAATCATCTCGATTTGATGATTCTGAACAAGTTACGACTAATATTTCTTTTTAATTATTTGGAAAGAAATATTTTTCAGTCAATAACTACCACTAATTCATTATCATCATTTGCTTCATCCAATACATCTACATAGAACAAATATTTTAAATATGCTGATAATCACTAATTTCCTCTTTTTTTCAATCACAAATCATTCCTTTTACAAAATTTAAATTACTCAAAATTTATCAATTAAAACAAAAAAAGAATTTGTGTTTTGATCAAATTTATTTTTTTAAATATTCCTTAATTTTTAATTTCTTTTTTTTCCATTTCTTAGACGATAATTTAAAGTTAAAAATTTAATTTAATTATTTTTAATTCTTTAGAATGTCAAAAATTTCCACAACAATAATAATTAGTAGAATCGGGACACGCCCAAAACGTCGCATGGCCAAAACAACGCAAAGCCATTGCTTGCTTCAAAATTTTCGAATCTTAACAAATTTAGTATTGAATGCTTTCTCTCATCGAGCTAAAGAGATTGGTAACAAAATTGATAAGGGTAAGAAATATGGGCTGTACCCAGAAGAAACCTCTGTCTTTTCCCTACAGGAAAGAAGGTCCTTTTTAAGACCAGACACGGATCAATCAAGATCCAATGTGTATTTTTATAACCTTCTGTTTACATTTTTTTAATTTAAAAAAGACAACATTTTTTCAAGTCCAAATTCCAATAAAAAAAGTTTAATTGAAAAAGACCAAGGAACATAAATAATGTAAGGCGGATATCATCCTGAAATCACGTGAACAATAATGTCGCTCTAAACTTTGTGCTAAGTAGCGGAAGTTCCCAGAGAAAAGGCAAAGAACGCCACAAACGACCATTCCCATTAGTTATTAGCCGCCCATTATCTAAGCTTAACATCGCCACAAACTTATCCTTGGGAAAGCAATAAGGAAGTAGGCTGGTGCATATAAGCTCTAATGGAATAGGCAAAGGCAGATCACTTCTTCATTCATTCATCAGAGTTGCCGGCCGGCCAATCCATCGAGTCTTATAGGGAAGAGCTCTCCCTACATTCCCCCACTGCGTGCGATTCACCTATTTCTATACTCTGCGGAGTTCACACATGATTGCAAGCATGCGCGACTCTGCCTATAGCAACAACTAAACAACGAGGCACTGGGGAACGGGACCAACCGCTTTACTGGTAGCACCGGATGGTTCCTCACCTTTTGCCGAGAAAATTTTGAGTTAGGAATAGGTCGGGGAATTTTTAAAAGATGGAATTTATATTTATTATTTGGCCTCAAAATCCGCGGTTCGATTTTATTAGATGATTAATTTTTGAATGAATAATTTTTATATTTGCGCTCAAAATCCTAGGTCCCCCATTTTGACATTAATTAATTTTTGAATGAAGATTTTATAAAATATTAGGGGGTAATTTTAAGAGTGATCTATCCTCTGCGGAGGCCTATTAAATTTATTTTTAAGAGGAAAATTATAAAAATAAAAAAAAATTATAATAATAGAAAAATAAACTAGCAAATTATTCTTTCCTCAGTAACCCCCATTTTGATAATAAATTTATGTTTGAATGAATATTTTAGAAGATATAAGGGGGTTAATTTTAAAGTGATCTATCCTCTGCGGAGGCCATTTATGTTAAAAAAAATTTATTATTATTTTTTCCTCAGTAACCCTCATCCTTGATAATAAATAAATAAATTTATGAATGAAAATTTTAGAAAATATAAGGGGGTATATAAAGTGATCTAACCTCTGCGGAGGCCATATACATTTATAAAATAAAAAAAAACTAAAAGGAATACAATCAAATCAATTACGAATTAATTCAAATGGAATAGAAAAATATAAATTTTAAAGAAAAGTATTCCTATCCTCTGGTGAGGCCATACAAAAAAAATCCAAAAAATTCCTTTAAAAATAGGCCTGTCATAGAATTTTATATAATGGTTCAGATATGCATTTATTGTTAAGTTATTTAAAACGCTGCGGTGTTCGCGAAATTTATCTCTTATTATACATGTTTATTTAATTTCTATTATATTCACATTCATGCATTACTATTTTTCTACAAATGCATCACAAGATGGAAAGAAATTCTTCAAAAAATTTCTTCAAAAACTACAAGAAATGACCTTTCAGGATGGAAATTATATTCTTTATTAGTCTTCAAAAACTTTCATCAAAAATTATGATTTTGTAAGTAAACCTTTGTATATTTAATGAAATCCAAAAAAGTGTAATATAGCTGAGAAAGTAAGATTTTCAGTTTAGAAAGTAAAGAAAAATAAAAAGAAAATCTTTCAAAAAAATTTTTTTTAGAAAAGTAGGTAAAAAACCAATAGAAGGATTTCTCTCTTCAAAAAAAGCTAAATATATTAAAATAGTTTTGTGTAGGAAAATTTTTTTTGGATTTTCAAAGAATTTTTACTATATTATTTCTTTCCTTCAATTTCACATATTGATTACTTTCCTTTATTTATTTTATTTATTCAAAGATAATTAAACCCTGAGGGGTTCATCTAAAAATTAGCTAAATTGCTGGGCTTACTAAAATCTGATATTTGTTAAAAGGAATTAAAAAATAGTTTCAAAATAGAGTTTATTTTAGTCATCCCGCGGGATTTTCGAAATTTCATTTCTCTTTCACAGACGAATTTATCTACAAAATTATCTACTTGCTGTTATTTCAAACTATTTCCCAGGGAAAAATATTTTTAACACTTTTCTTGTCAAGAGCAATCTCTCTATGCTCATTTTTCTTTTAAAATTATAAATAAGTGTACTTTATTCTTTTATTAGTTTCTCAACTTTATTTTCCTGTTCTAAAAAAATTTTTTTAAAGGGATTTATAGATTCACTAACTTTTTATTTAAAAAATTCATCTCGAAATACCATAATTAATTTATATAGAAATGAATTGATTTTTGTTTTCAGATAATCTATCAGAAAATTGTAAACAAATCTTGCTAGATATTTTTAAAAAATATATCTTTAGAAAGTCAATCTGGGTGATAAAAGTTAATTATAAATAGAATGTTATAAAATTTAATGGAAAATATAAGTAATTCAAACCTCCGTGGAGGCCATATCCATAATTATAAATTTAAAAAAAAATTTTTTTGACATATTTGTTTTCAAAAATGTTTATATATTGTTTCGTTTATAATCGCTCTTAGAACTTGATTTTTTTCTCTATTCGTTTAATCATAGAGATATATTTTTCCTTTCCTCGTTTATTCTCTATTATTTTAGAAAATATTTTCAATTATCCCCGCGGGGCACAAATAAAAGTAAATATTCAAGGTTTTATATTTTATTCTCTCATTTATTTTGGCGGAAACTGAAAATAATAAGCATTAAGCATGGGACCTTGAGAAAATAGGGATAGACTGATCTTAAATATTGGTATGAGATTTCTTATTGGTATAGGACAAAAATCGGCTGGAATTTCATGAGCTATGATAATACTTGAGTGATTAATTCTGATATCTCAGACAAACATTCAAAACGGATAATACAGTCTTACATAACCTGCGGGTTTCACTTAAATTTTTGAATTATTAGATGGCTCCCCAGAAATTTTTTTTCCAAATTTTCCAAAAATAAGAGAGGACCGACTCATGATTTTTTCTTTCAGCCTTATCTTATTTTTTGTTTTTCTTGTGGTTTTGTTTTTCTCGCATTCTACAAAATTTTTTTGTACGTAGCCTCTATTGATCCTATTGTAATTTGCCCACCTGCGGGACTCTCACATGTGAAAAAAAAATTAATATTTTACAAAAAAATTAAATCCTGAGGGATTCATATAAAACAAAACAAAAAGAGGACCAGGGACGGTCCATTGGAAGGTTAGAGGTGTAGAGGAAGGTCAAATATTAACGACCAGGGACGGTCTATTGGAAGGTTAGAGGTGTAAGGCGGATATCATCCTGAAATCACGTGAACAATAATGTCGCTCTAAACTTTGTGCTAAGTAGCGGAAGTTCCCAGAGAAAAGGCAAAGAACGCCACAAACGACCATTCCCATTAGTTATTAGCCGCCCATTATCTAAGCTTAACATCGCCACAAACTTATCCTTGGGAAAGCAATAAGGAAGTAGGCTGGTGCATATAAGCTCTAATGGAATAGGCAAAGGCAGATCACTTCTTCATTCATTCATCAGAGTTGCCGGCCGGCCAATCCATCGAGTCTTATAGGGAAGAGCTCTCCCTACATTCCCCCACTGCGTGCGATTCACCTATTTCTATACTCTGCGGAGTTCACACATGATTGCAAGCATGCGCGACTCTGCCTATAGCAACAACTAAACAACGAGGCACTGGGGAACGGGACCAACCGCTTTACTATAATAAAGAAAGAATTTAAAAAATTATTTTTAGAAAAACTACTTTATAAAATGTTGAAATATTTAT